CGATTTCGACTTTGGGTCTTCCTTGATAAGTCACATGAGATAGTTCGAGCTATAAAGCTGCACAAAATCGCGGAACACAATTATATCTACATGTTCTGTAAAAGATACAACCCCTTGGATATGTCCTTGAGCGCTGGATTACCAGGGATTGCAAGCTCCGCCAGGTACTGCACAAATCCAGCAGTTACGAAGAGGCAGGTGACCTCTTTCCGATTCATCTCCCACTTGCATCCAAATGGTAGCACACCGAAATCTCCCATTACCAGAGGTGGATACTGAAATTGATATAGATTCGTACAAAATTTCAACTATATCTAAATGACGCTGGAATGGTGAACTAAACATGTGCGGTGAATTCGTACATCCAAAAAAGCTTTTGAAAATGGAAGAAATTCAAGGTAAGTGAATTTATGTAGAAGCGAATTATAATGGACATACAAGAAAATGAATACAACGCTAATTTAGGATGACTATGGGCTCTAAAGCTAATTTTTTAGCAAAGGTGGAGCAAAAAAATCAACATTATAGCTTTGAAATCTTGAAAACGAGTTTGATAACTTATTGACTGGATTCCACTTTGAGCTGTGTTTACTTCATTGTAAAAATTAAGTGTTTATTGCTCTGAAACGCATGATACCCATTTTCTGAAAATCTTGAGAAAGAAATTGTTTGTCTTTTTGAGAATTCCACAGAGAAACATAATGCTTTAGAACGTCAATGTTTTCATGCAAAGATTTGCAAATTCAAAAGAGATCCCCGTATATTCTATGAATTACCATTTGAAATCATATGTATGTGTTATGAAAGATGATTTTCGTTCCAAGTTCAATTTACCTTCACAATCTCCTTGTAGTGTTTTCTTTCAAAATTGTATACGTACTTCTCCCTTTTTTGGCTCCTGCAAATCGAAGAATAATTTTTTTGAAAAAAGTAGTCCATTGATCCTTACGGTTGTAAGTCGAATTTGTGTTTGATAATTTTTATCCCTTGCAAAACGAAATGGTAGTCCTGCGCTAATTCCACTACTCTCCAGAGGCCGCAGAAGTACATCTGAAAATAATTTTTTTCTTACAACTGTCGTTAGTTTCAAGAAACTTTTTTATGTACATTGGCACAACTGAATTTGTCTTTCCGACTCGAAATTCAGATCAATCACACAACTTCAAACGGGCACGAAACTTATGAAAATCAAGGGGTAGACTCACTGCGTGATGACGTCCTCGAACATCTTGTATGTCTTTTTGAAGATATTCCTGAAGCAATTTGTTCATCACTTTTTGTTCTGGGTCACATTTTGGCGCAGGTTCCATAGGCGGTGTGGGTTTCTTCGGAGGAGGAGGAGGAGGAGGACGAGGTCTCACTTGCGGACGACCTTTCTTCACATTTTTCTTTTTTTTACCGGAGTATTTCGGCCGCGCTTTCTTGGCGCCCTTTTTCTTGGCAGCATCCGCACATATTGCTAAGGCGAGCAAGAGCTGAATGTACGGTGTTCATCAGGGTAAAAATCATAAAATAGGTCTTCCAAAGTAAAAGTAAGTCTTAAGTAAAATAAGTCTTACAAAGAGAGCTAGATAGGCGCACTTCATTTCGCGTGGCGTTTAGCTCTACGCAGAGTATTTTATATTGTGCTGTGGAATCACAATGAACAGGAACATCACGATTTCTCACTTTTATTGGATTCAGTTACACGTGAAATAGTGGTTTCAAACTGCTGCGTATAGGGCGTTCCAAGAAGTCCGAACATGCTCGCTTATTTCTCAGATGCTGTTGAAAATATCGCTCAAAATTCCATTTTTTCTCAACTTTTGACAAAATGAGAATTTGACAGCAATATGATATTTAGAGGATCATGACAGCATTTGCAGCCCTAATTTGATTATCAGAATTTGGTTCATATAGTAGGATGAGGACTCAGAAAGCCCGAACCCCAAATTTCACGCCCACGTAAAGGAATGCCTTCATTGGAAGACAGCGACAAACTCAGCATGTGCTCAAAGCTTAACAAAACTTGAACTTTTCACATTTACAGTGCATTTTTTAAAATACAATAGTTCGGATCTCGATAAAA